AAAGTTCTTATATCATTGTAAAAGTGCATTGCCCCTTTACACTTCTCCCCGTTCCAAGTCTGTCACGACCCATTTAAGTGCGAAGAGGCTACGCTATTTCTAGCTTCGAATCCGTTTCCCGTTGGTTCTGAATTGTTAATATCATTGCTGCAGATCTATTCAGGATTAGCCATCATTGAATGATAGACTTGCGTTGACGTTGCAAATACGTTACAGCAAGTAAAATACGTCACGTGTTTTTTTTTTAAACATATTGCCCATCGTCTATTATGTGCAACAATGAATATTGTATGAATGAAGTTGTACACTGAGTAGAAACACGAAGTAACTTTAAAACCCTTTGGCCCATCTCATGGGTTGTGATTGTTTTCGAGACTACTACGGCTTTTAGCTTACGCGACGCCATTACATACTTAAACAAACGACTATCTTAATCCTACATTGCTTTAGATATTATTAACGTGCTTGCAATGGTTCTAGTTATGGTAGAATTTCAAATCTCCTTGCCAAAAGTTCGTACCCTAATCAGGATAAACACGTATATGGCCGCAGACAGACTTTTCCTATACCTTAGATTTTCTTGCATGCTAGGAATTAGATATCTCAGCAATGTTTATACAATTCATTTCGTGTTTGACTCCTCTAATAGTCTAACACTCAAACGTAGGGGCACATTAATAGTATTGGTGAAAAAAACGTTTGCCCATGTATCGCGGTCATTTTCTGTGAAGTAGTTTATGTTTATTGAAGTAGCTTATGCCCACTGTGACTCAGTGTAATTTACTGTGATTTGACGTATGATGCAAGAAACTGTTTCATTCGAAAATCTGAGTGTCATTTTGGCCCAGACGTTTCCAACAAGGAGGTGGGGGTTCGGCTGTCACGGTTCCACTTCGTTCATGTTATTGGTACTATTCGGCTGTAGTAACTTCGTCACTTTAATTTACTGGATGTGGCTCCGTCGTGACAGCGCAGTCGTATCGCAGATGTATTGCGTGCCTAGGACGCACCATCGCGAAACGTTCTCGTGGCTTATGGTTTAAGGAGTGCATTGCTTACCTTTTCGTGAGAAAGCACTTGCTGATGATGCCCTCAAAATGCTCGATTCGTCGTAACAACAGGTTTACATGTGGCGCTCAGTGGGAGCCACTTTCGGTGGATTGTAGTGGTGTCTTTTAGTCTGAAGTCCCGTTTACGGGAAGTGACCATACGAGTGACCTATTGTATAGTGGGCGTGGGTCGCAGTGGCCTGCATTCGCCGACACATCTGCGAGCATACTGATTCATCGTAGCTTGATTATTGTACCCTGTGAGCAGTTTCGCATGATGATGACTCGGACATGATTGGTCCACACCATTTCTGTGTGTGATCCTTATGTGAGCACGTCATATCATAGGTAGCTACGGGTGACCATGAATTTCAACTTACTCGTTTCTTTACTATAGGGAACGATTCAGACATTTTTAGCGGAAATCTACATACGAGTTTTAATTGCTCAAAGTTTTCGACAAAGCGTCCCAGTCACTTAGTTAACGAACGATGAATATATACGAATCAGTAAAGCAGCAAGCGAGTGAAAACAATCCTTCAACACTCATAATTCCTTAAATGCTAAATTACTAATAGCGAAAGGTATTTCTATATCCAATTTTAGCTAGATAGTAAGAAACATCTGTTAGAATGATACAGTATCATTATAGATTTGGCTGCAAGAAAAAAGTGGAATTAGTGTTGTCGCTGTTAAAGCAATGAACTGATTGTTTTGTTCAATGCGGTTTGTTAGAAAAGAATCCCCACACTTGTCGGATCTCTGGAACACTAGTACCATATGAAATTAATATGTTTTTTGGCCAACGTTCATAACCGCGTTGTGTTTTTCAGTCAGATATTTGAAGAGGTCCTGGCTGAAGTCAGTCTCATGTGACCAAGAATTCCCATCTAAAAACACATTGTGAGGTAGTTGCGATCTGAATATGATGAAGTGCGTAAATGCATCCATTCACAAAAATCAAATCGCATGATGTGGAAGGTAGATCTTGGCCAGGTTTGGAATTTTTGATTATGCAATGCACTTGTGCGATTGTTTTTAAGGCATAACACTTCGAAACTTCGGAAATGGTCAAATACCTTCGGTTCTATTGTCATCATGTTAGAGCTGTTCAAATCGAGCGCCTTCGGTAGTTTGTTATTGACAGACGATGTGTAAGTCAATGTGCGGATGTTGTTGCCGTATAAACGGATCTCAGTGGGAGACGAAGGAAGCCCTTTAGGGATTTTACTGTATCCGTGGGCATTGCACCCGACGAGCGCCTTTAATGACCGATGATCATAGCACTTAAATTTTTTGGGCGAACCTTTTTCCAGTCACGCCCATTGGAGCGACGGCACTTCCAGATGGGAACGCAATAGGCTTTGTACGTGCATAGTACTTGGGTCGATATGATACCTATCAATAACACAATGCGACTGCCATGCCGCTCTGAAACCGTGCTGTACTAGACACGATCGAGGTCGACGATGTGGAAATAGCTATGCGACCGGGAATACTTTTTGGTGTCATAACTAAAGTTAGTTGGCGTAACCTTTTCAATTTACCTGCTACGGTAATTTGGGGCGAAAGGCCTAAGGTGATGGCTTAACTTGGGCTAGGAAACTAAATAATGGTTCTACCGAATGGCTGTACGCGGTTGTCTATGATGCTTTTTTGATAAGGCGGATGGTGCGCTACCTATGAACGAGACAAAAATATTGAGCAATATCAGAGTGCTATAGTCGTGTACATTTCACGACTAATCACGTTAAAGGATGCATCAGTATTAGGCAAATAACTTTAGTTTACGAGTTTTGCTGTACTGATCAGACTAGCGATCCTGAGCAGTTCGAAGTTCCTAGAGACATCGGAATAATCAAAATAATGCAGCTGATTGAAATCAATTGGAGCCGTTGAAACTTAGGCATGCGAGTAGCTGGAAATGTCAAGATCCATATGATAGATATTGCTGTTGGCTAAATTTAGATGCCGATGGTTAGAGAGTCTGTTTTGGATACGTTTCCGATGTGGTTACTTGTTAAGTTCAGATGATCTAACGTTTGAACTTCGCGAGTTTGAATTGCACAAAGTCTTAGGCGATAAGGGATCATCGGGAGTGCTTGCGAGCATATTTTGGATCGACTTGAATAACCCAAGGGTCCAAAGTCCTTTAAAACTTTCACGTATATGCTTTTAAAAAACAGTTGGAGTTTAATTTTACGGCTGCTAGAAAATCTTAGTCCGGTAGAGGGCTCGCCATTAATGATCATGAGATAGTCATTACCTAAAAAAAATCTTAAAGTATTTTTATCATGTTCTTGTATACGAACTTGTTCAGCCGCTCGATGCGGGTGTATTTTAGGCGAATTCAAGTCGGGAAATGATGATTGGAACGTCAACTTCATTCGGTCAACAGGTGGTTACCTGCCAGCTCAAAAATTCGCAGATTTGATATTCGTTTGATTGTTGGAAGCTATTTTAATAGTGTGACCTTATTTTGCCCAATATAAAAGTCAATCAAAGGTTCAGCGGCAACGCTGCTAAGAGCTAGCATCGCCATTCTCGGTGTATCATAAAAGGGCTCAAATAGAACAAAGATCATCATATTCTGCTCTGAGTAGATTACGTAAGACGCTCCAGAGTGTTAGACTACATCGTAGTGCTCCGATTGTATCTTAAATGCAGCTTTATAGGATGGATTAATATGCAAACGCTTTTACTATTTATGATGCAGTCAAGTGACTAAGCGGTAAATTGCTTCGTAAATCCAAGTTGATCGCGGCGGAACTTGGGAAGAAATTTAGGCTGTTACAACGTTATTATAGAATATAGTTATAACGAAAAAACAACTTCGCTGGTAAGAATCTAAGATTGTTTTCTGTTCTGTTCAAGGGCTCTGCTGGTATTTGATTGTTTTACAACAAAGGCTAGTATAGTATCACTGGCTAGCAGTGGAGATTGAGGCGTACAATACACATCTCTTCCTCTGTGACACCCACGTTTCTTGCGCTCTTGTAATTCCCGTTGAAGCGTTTCATCGAACGCGAACCAGAAAAATATCTAATAAGATATTTTTTTGGACAACACTCATTTGACCCAGCCTGCGCATCTTCAGGACAGAGTAGCTACCTGTGTAATTTTGCCACATTCGCATTATCTCGTCACGGGAACAATGGCTACGTGCCAACTTCTTTATCATGTTGGTGTTTGAACGAATGTAGTTCAGTCGATCATCAGCCTCCTTGAGCACTGAGGAGACACGCACCACTGCCACGCATGTAAACATTGTCACATATTTAATGTCGATCGCTGTTTCTCTTCTAGTATATAAGAAAGCTTTCCAATATCATCAATCTAATTACGTACGATGTGAGATTTTGCTTGGCACCACGTCCCGCTTCGTTCACTGTTCACATGGTGTCGAAAGTAAATAATGGCTTCGAACACAACTGAGGAATTAGTAATTAACCCGCTAATTCATAATTTTGTTACCTACCTGCTGCGTAATTAGAACTAGACTCTTATCATCCAACGCTATCTATACTTCGTATATCGTTGTCTTCGAAACACTGCCGTAACAGATGCGCTATGGAATTCACGACGGTATTGATCTTAGGCCACACGCTTTTTGTTTCTTTCTTACGCCGAGTACTATGAAATACTCGAGAGTTCTGAACATAAGCTGCAACATTTTGTGAAAGCTCATCCGCAAAAACTGCTCGTTTTTATTGTCTCGCATCAATTTTAACCCTCAGTCACTGCTGCTCTACAATTAAACCTATGGCACATGTATTTTGTGTTTCAATGCGTCTTACGTATGAAAGGTCTCGGTATTCATCAAAGGTTCGTGAATTTCACCTTTGTCATACAGCTGAAAAATGGCATATCTTCATGCTGGTGGTATGTAAAATAAGTGCGTGGTATAGTTCATGCTAGTGTATATATATATATATATATATATATATAGTTTGCTGTCTTAACGAGCGTCATGCTAGTTGCGAACGCAGGGCCAGTCACCCTTCTATCCTATGACTAGCAACACAGATCTCACTACGATTGGATACCTATTACTGACGATAACATGGCAGGTTCTCGAAATGGCGATGATTTATATATAGACGCAATTCCTCATATGTACTGTATGCTCTAACAGGAGGACGGAACGCTGGAAGAAAGGTAATCACATCTAAGAAAAAGCAGCTTTTAGTGGATTTCATAATACAAAATAGGCTCAGAACAATGTACCCCACCGTAGGAATAGCATGTGTTTTATCGATGAATCGTACTACATTTTTGGGTAGGGGTCTTTAATCTTGTGTAGCATAAAGTTAGAATCAAGCTAGCTCAAATGATGTAACAGGGGTATCGATTTAAATGAGGTGGCAAACGAGAGACAGGAGAATGTTGTCCAAATAAAGACTTCCTAGCTTTATTAGTTAAGATGATTGGCTGAGCCGACATTGTTTACACCCGTTCCTGTCTTCTGTACATTCACACACCTTGAAAGATTTGGTATTCAAATTTGAATAAGGAAATGCTAGCAGGTCTAAATGTCTAAAGTTCAAATTTTGCCAAAGATTGTCCACAGTCGCATAAAATCATATCCTCCGCATTTTACTGGAGTTAAAACCTGCTTCCATCCGACTTGATTATCTCGCATTTTCACGAAAACGGACAATAAATGTAACAATACGCATCGACCTATAATCAAACTCAATGCGTTCCTATTTGAGATATCACCATCGCTGCACAGAGGAATAAGGCTCAGCATCCGCACCAAGACTAGACTAGCAACAGGTTCTACAGAACTTTTTTTAAAAAAATACAATATTTTTTTAGATTGAAAGGTACGCGAAATACCAAAACATATCAATGGAGCAAGACGGAACTGTTCGTATGTCTAAAAGTCGAACCTTAAAATGTATTGACTGGCACATAAAGGGCACTCGGTTATGAGAAGGGTAGGCAAAGAGAAAGTGGAAAACAAAGGTAAGTGTAATAATCCATTTTATGTTATGCTTAACCAAAAGATCATCTAGAGTTCAGAGCAGATGAACGATCATGGATGGGACGATGCACCTAAATGATCAACACGCTCATAACATGAGGCAGTTTAGAAATTTGAAGTGAAGTAACGTTCTTCCTTTAATTAGTAGTCGTTCACTATAACTTCTTATTTATATTATAATGACATAGTGAATTCGTTCGAGGTTTGATATATATTTTTTTTCGTTTCGACGTGCTCCTAAGGTGGGATTTCGAAAAATCCACTGCGGAAAAACGTTGGACATTCATAGATCTAGAGGCAAGCACTCGCATAGAAGACACAAAGTATTAGAGGAGTGCTTACAATCTTTGTAAAACAACATATGTGCTATATGCTAAAATTCAGCCCGAATGAAACAGCATTGCCCACCATGGTTAAGGTTTAACATACGAACTTGATACCGAAACTTCCAGAAATGGTCGTTTACACAGACGTACGTCCTATGGTTCGACGTTGTCAGTCCTTCAGAGCGACTCGTTTACTTCAGTTCAACGTGGGAATTCCCAACAGTGTCGGTTGCCTTGCGACGACATTCAGTCCATTTTGTCTTGCTCCCTGGGCCTGGATACAGGAAAATCTTGATCTCTTCATGATCGACACAGAAAACACATAGAAGATCTATAATGGTATCGTAGATTAATTTTCACCTGCAGACGATGCACGGATTTTGATTTCGGTTCATCTGAAAAATATGCTATTCTCTTAGTCAGTGTCCTAAAGAGTCGTACAGATCCTATTTGAAGTTACCGACATTTAACATTCGGCCCTTTTCCTATCCTATAAGCATGCGCTAAAGAAGACTACACAATCCATAGGAAGAGATAGGTCAGAGCGATCTTGTCTTACACATCTACCGAGAGATTTTGCATTAACCTGGTAAAATATAGTGCTGGCCATCCAATAAGACCTTTTTCAGAACTTTTTCCTACTGTTGATAACGAAGCCAGGTCTAGGCCAATGGGCTAAACTTGTCCGGTCGCCGTTCTTCTTTAGTATGTGTCTTCGTTGTTAAATAAATCATCGTTTACACGTTCTCGGTCCTCACTTCTCTCGATCAACCGCAATCATACTTCAGCAAGTGGGAAAGTAAGTAATCTAAGGGTAAACAGTAGTACAGCTGTTGAACAAAGAGCGCGCTAATGTTTCGTAGCTGGCAACAAAGACAGCCTTGACCTCAAAAATAGATTGTTAACTATTTGGGATAGAATGAAAGTCTGGGCGTCTGTTTCCAAAACGTTAAGTTAAAAAGAAAACACCTTTTGGTGCCATGACCTCCATTGTCGCCCCTCAAATTGCTACTGCTGTCGCGAAGGTAAACTTTGGTAGATGAACAGATTTGCCTGAAGGCAACCTATAGCGCCTTAGGCATTATTTACTTTTCGCGTATTTCCTTATGAGGCCAGGCATTGTGGGGTGGAACAGCGACAGACGGGACACTACCTCTAACAAGGAACAAAATCTCAGCCTTCAAGACTGACAAAGCAGCACCGGAAGTCACATGTACGCATCAAAAGCAAAGAAACGTCTTTATCCAAAAGAGAATATTCAACATTCCGCAAAAGTTCTTATGAGCGGGTGAAGCCGCTGCGCATGTCACGGTTGATAAAGGAACATGAGCGTAGGAGATATTCTATCGGATTAAGTGGTTCATTCTCTAAGCACCGTTATTATTTACAAGGATCATATTTATCTAAATTGTGCTTAACTTGCAGGGTAGCTTATAACTTATTGAACATACTAGCTTTGGCGACTCCATACACTATTTGATATGAATGGAAAATTTCAACTCTTAGGGTCATGAATTTCACTTATCGATTTCACAGAAATATTTCCAGCACAAAGATATTTCCAGTAGAACCAAGCACAACGGATACTAGACACTGATAATTGTATACGCCGTTCGCACGTATGTAAAAAAAAACCTATGGATGAAAATCAGCTACTGCCTGTTTTAAAGAGTGCTAATTGTAGGCGTTTATATTCTGTAAGGCTTGTTTACCTAAACGACCGACGCAATCTATGGTGACGATTATTTTTTGGTGTGTCGTTGTGGAGTCAGGTACATGAGTTTAGTCTTTCTCTCGCTTTACTCGCTTATCGAGAACTTTTTCTTTATTATGCAAACAATTCTACAAGCAAATGAAGGATTGTCAAAAACAGGAGGAAAATATATACACTCGCTAGTTATCTAGAAAACCGTTTAAAAGAGAATCAAGAGTTTTATGCTCAAATGATTTCAGTGAGAGCGTGGGCGTTCCACGTGTCAGTATTTAAAGTGATGTACTTCATAGCCAATAAGGACCGAACCATAATAATTTCAAAGGATAATTGCTATCAGGCAATTCGAGTACGATTTTAGAAGCCCATGTTAACTTGCCAGGTTCACGCCGGTACAAACTCACGATTTTTTCGAACGGACACGTTTACTGCGAGGCCTTGTCGAAATAAAAAGTGGTAAGCTTCGGTAAATAATGATCCGAATGCTCCCTAGCTAGGTCTGCCTTGGCTCGCGACTTGCATGCTCCAAAAAGAAAATGCTACAGCCTTTTAGAAAGCTCTGAATGAACGAAGAAAGGATTTACTATGTTGGAGTAGCTTTTTCCCAATGCATTTCAGTCTTCCTTTCTTTGGCTCACAGAGGTCGCTGGTCCTCCCGCACATTACTGTTGACACTACAGGCGCAACACTCCAATCTGGCGAAATATCCCACGCGCTTCCGTTCATAGGAAACGGCATTATTTCTCAAATAGATTTTTGGTATTAAATGCATTGGAACAGTTTTTCCTTTTTAGCTTCACTGCTTTATTGCTGCTGAAATACCCTTAGGTTTGTATTGATTGATCGTTTAGAAGTACGTAAATGGCCTGTTCAGTAATTTAATATTCTACAGAACAAATTGGTTTTCAGCTCTGGTTAACGGCAACTGAACTTCGGCAAAACTTCCCACATTTTGTTTATCACTATCTACAGATATGCCAAACCTAGTTACGTTAGACAATGAACCACACAGATGAAGTGTTTGTTTCGATTTCCTTTAAATCGTAAAAGCTTCTTTTCAGACGGTTCTGAGATACGAAAAGTTACTCCTTTTTTGATCGCTTGATACATCTTAAGTTTACGTTTACGAAAGGAAGCAGACGTCGAACTTTTGACATGACATTACTGTAAAGTATCAACCTAGTTATTTTGGAAACAGCTTTTGTACTCAGGGGCATCAGCTGTGGTTACCGTCGACTGCTTACCATAGCTGACTAACGATGTGCTTAAAACAGACAACGGCTTCTTATCGATTGAACTAAGCTGTTGGCTATAGAATGGTCATTGCCGATATCTTCTCGTTTGATGTCTACCGAAAAACTATTCATTGATTCAAGGTACTGCTTTCTAGCTGCTGGGTCTGCTGAAATGCAGTTGCTTGTGGTCTAGGGTTTGAAGTTGCTTCTCGAGCGAATGGATGGGCGCGAGTCGAGGTAGGATATTTTGACGAGCATCGTACTCATGTTGGCTGCTTCATTTAGAATTGGCTGTGTGTACGTCGTAAGCCGACCTGGAGAGTCACTACCTAGCGCTGGTGATACACATCAACATTGGTTTACTGAGTATATTTGTGCTTTTCCTCTGACTGGTCTTCGATTAGGAACATCTTCGTCCTTCGCGTTAGCGTTAGCCTGTCGCGCTCCGTCAACATTAAATATGTGATATGCAAAAACTTTATGCAGTATGATGCTACAAGCGTTCATTCTGTGATAACAGTGTGAAGTATCGCTGAAGTGATTATCGATTATGCCGCGTGCCGAACAATTAAAGGAAATAAATAGATTATTCCCTATATATATATATATATATATATATATATATATATATATATATATATATATATATATATAGATTTGTCGACAGTACTTTGCTTTAGTTATTAACTTCTACATTGCACATCTGTGAATAGGATTTTGCGTTAGTACGAGGATCTCTATAGGCCAGAACTTTAACGTAGTCGTGATATCGAATATTCTATAAATTATTTTCCTCTGTAATCGTTGTCACGTTCTTCTCACGCAGTATGACCACCCGAAGCGGTGACCTTCACCTATCGTTTGTTTGGTATTTTACTTATCGACATTCTAGTTCCTATAGGGCCATGATACTGTTGACAAGTGGTAAAAATATAGTACAGGGTATACAGCAATGTGCACCCTATTATATGGCCTGGCTAGAACGAAACAACACCGATCAAGCAGCGATATGCTGATAAAAAGGTCGTGGACGAATCGGTGACTCGCAGCCAGCTAACAAAAGTCGACACTGGCAAGTGCTATATAAGGAGGACAGCAAAAATCAGTGACAGAAAAACCGTTAAAATCTATCCAACTGCAGAGCAGTAAATACACTGTGCGAACACGTGACCGTTCTTCAGACCGATCTTCACTGCTATAAACCAGTACAAGTTAAAACGAGGTACTATCGAAGTGGCCTCGGCTGCAAGTCGCAACGCTAAATGTACGGTATGAAGGGTCAAATTCAATCAGAAAATGCTTCTCTCGGGTCAAGTAAGTGGCATAACTAGAAAGGCGAACGAAGGAAAGGGATCCAGCGACGCGATAAAAGTAAAGCGGATAGAGCCTGTATTAGCGGATCAGGCACGGTACTGCAATTACGATAACGAAATTAGAGTTCAACGAAGTGTCAATCTCAAAATGGATTGTTTACGGCTTAGATGAACGGGAAAAGAGCAACAGCAGGACGTTCGACATGAAGTATAAGCATCAATGATTAGATAACGTTAAGATATGCACTATTTACGGGAAAGATTATTTGGCTACTGGAACTTGTAACTGAAAGTTGTTACTGAATTGCTCGATAATATCGCTAGTATCGATATAGTTATTTGAATTCAATGTCGTCTCTTCTCGTTAGTCCAAGTTATATCCAGTATTAAATATTAGTATCTTTAATAAAACCTTACGAAAATCGACACATACAACTGCTCTTCTTGTGTTTACGGGAAACTATTATTACCAACTACGATTACAGATCTTTTTGAACATTGTTGCAAAAATGCAAATTTAACCAATGCCGTATCAATAGTGCCTGCCATATATTGTCACTGTCATCAACGTATCGCTGGCGAACACCCGAAAGAATGGTATCGTCTACACTGATTGAATGGAATACGTTTCGAAGAACCCAAACCGTCTCATCCGCTTAAAACACATTTTACGTGCTCGCGTACATTTTCTCACGGTTAAGCAGAAAAATACGTTTGAATTAGCTGCATGTTACCTGGCGGGCCTTGGGCAGATGCTCACGTTCATGTACTCCAGCCGAACTGCAGGGTTCATGGCCCATTCAGGCTGGCTTCAGTTTATAGATATCTGTATACATGTACGGTCAATTTATCTCTATAAGTATACGTAATGGCGGCAACCTTCACCGCGGAACAGGCAACAACAAATGTAAACCAGAAATAGCTAAGTTTTCTAAAACTTTTTTCGAACACCTATAAATATTTACCATGATCTTTTATATCACTCGGCTCATGTTGATTTTAAGCTTGAACTTCACCGCTTTCACTGGTGATGAGGTTCTTTACAATTTTTGCACGGGGTAGCTATGGAAATACGCGATTGGTGAGAGGCACTGTTATCCTTTGGCGTCGTTGAATGGCCTCCGTGCAAATTGTCCTCAGTAGATGCTTTGCAAGGCAGAGCTTGTGGTATCAGCGAGAACCCAAACCCTGGGCATGGTTCTGCTATATAATGGCCGAAAAAGTAAGGCGCTGTCGGTATTGGCTGTGGGTTTACTTGGCCTGGCGCTTGTAGCCCTGTTTGATTTATCGCTTGCAGCCCTGCTTGGGGTATGGGCTGTAGCACTGCCTGGTAACGTGAAAGGTTTCCAAACGCCGTCTGAGGCTGGATAATACCAGTCGCTACACCAGCTGGCTGTAAGGCAGCGTGAATCGGCAGCCCCGACGGAAAATTTTGAACGTTAGGCTGTATGGGTTGCAAATTGTACACATACTGTGGTTGTACAAAAGCGTTCGGAGGCGTCAGTCCTTGTGGAGCCTGTGACGAAGCCGTACTGCCAAATGTTGACGAAGGTGATTGTTGCGGCGATGAAAGAAGTGAAGCAGAGTCGAACTGAGGGCCGTAGAGCGCTGGTACATAAGGACCCGTAGGTTGAGCACCATGCTGCTGCGCCGACTGCACCGCCTGAAGATTGAACATGGGCAGTTGTGGCAGAGACTGCTGTGCTTGACCCATAAGTTGTTGTGGTGGGCTTGGAACATGACCTTGCAGGATCAGCGGTTGCAGCGCAACGTGCTGTGGCAAACTATGAACATTGTACATTTGCTGATAGGGATAAGGTACGGGCCCAGACCCATGGGTCTGGTTATTGACTACGAAGGGTAGGGCCCCTGCAGCGTAGCCGGGTGCGCCTGCTTGTAGACCCAGTTGTGCAGCGGACTGCTGTAATGCGGCTTGAATGACTTCTGGAGGTATGTTTAGCACCACATAATCGCCGGGTTGCCCCGTAATTGGGTCCATCTGCATATGCATTCTGATGAGTTACAGGAGTCACTAAAGAAAATCGTCTACTCTGCTTTCCGAAGTTTGCTACTAGATTACATACAATATACTTATGAAACTCGCATTACTTCGTTGTTACAACACAATAATCCTACCTGAAATCATTATCGGAAGCTTTGCGAAAACAAAACAAAAATAGACCAATGGGTAGATTGCTGGTCAAGTTTAGAGGTCGTATTAACATAGGACTCGAAGGATTAAATGTGACGGAATTAGTTGCAGGTATCATAATAATAATATTTGAAAATTGAAAAACAGGATGTGCTGCCTAGGACAATATGCAAACGAAATTTTCGCACCAGCGGACGCCGAGAACGAACTGCATTATACCCAATGATTAATTTAAACCACACTAGTCATCGATAGTCAAAGAAAAAATCAACAAAGTGGACCCTGTATAAGTGCACTCTCGAAAACAGTCGTTTTCTTCACAAATGCACGCACACATACATCCATCAGCCGCCGTTTATATCAATCTAAAGCGAAATCAAGCTTATGTCATTCAGTCAGATTGAAATTAACTACTCAACTTATGTCTTTCTATAAGGTCGAGAGAAAGATTAAGGATAAACACTGCTAACACACGATTATATTCATGTATTCGAGTATTCAGCAAATGACGCCGCTAAGTTTCGTCGCGGTATCGAGGCCAGCTAGCAGACGTCGCAGGCTAGGTGAGTTCTGTGCAATTGTTCAGTATTCAGCTAAGTTCACTTGTATTCAGGATTAACTCCTGAATCGCTGACGCAGGATTTGCTGCTGCTGCTGCTGCTGCTGGTTCTGATAGCCTGGCAAGGAAATGAAAGCCCGGGTACAGAATTAACAAATACAGAGATCTTGCAGTGACCGAATGCAAAGTAAGGGCAGAAACAGACCTGGGTACTGCGAGTTGTAATTATAGTACCACAATCTTGCGAACTTGCAAATTGTCTCCGCAGTCGCCATGCGGGACAAACAACGACTACAAAAGAGAGCTACAGGGCTGATATCAAGCAAGCTGAAGCACCTGTTGATTGCGGGCGGTGGTTGGAAGACTGCGAAGAGAAAACTTGCTATGCACAAACCTTACGATACTATACAAATGTTCATAGCAATCAACGAGAAAATAGAAAGTGCAAACAAAAACAGTCTTACACGTCTAATCGCGCGCAGTCGTGCAGAATCTCCATAACGCGAACAGTACCTCAACCCAGGTAGTTCCTGACCCCCATCTGCTAAGCAACTGACAAGAACCTGTAGTATGAATGTGAGTCGCTTTGACTGCGCTGGAGCTATCGTATTCATTAAGCAGGCTGATTACCCTTTTAGCGTCTTGAGTTGGAGAAGCCACGTGTCCCGGGCGCCTTAAAAACCTGAACCTAAAAAAGCATTTTTTAGGTTTTTACAGACGAAAGTGGAGTCGGCAAGCAGCTCCACCAGCAGACATATTGTAACAGTCTTTGTATTACCACCAGAAGGCTAGTTCATATTATGCTTATGTATATGTGAACTTATGTGCCGGAGTTAACTGTATGTTAACGAAGGCTATCCGTGAACGAACACGCAAATACGGATTCGGGTAAGTAGTGGTCGGCGAAAAGAGATAAAGCTAAATATGTAATCAAAATGACCTGCAATCAGCAGAATCGAACTAATGTTATTGATAGGGGCTACTTAATTTATAGAAGTATCACGAATCATTTTATTGGAAAGCTTTTTTAAGTTGGTAGCTTCTTGCCCATCCTGCCATGTTTAAAATAATTAAGGTAATGTAGTAGTCGTAATCATATAAAATAGACTTGGTGACTTTTAATATTGTGGAATATCATGAAGATACGAAGAGTCGTGCTGTAAGAAGCTGATGATGTCAATTATATGATTTATTATTACTGCCATTAGGACGTATATTTGTCAATTTTAACAGTGCGTAAAAAGACCAGGGGTCGCTAATTCAAACTGCGTCAACGACAAGCAAATGCTACACAATTTGTGTGAATAAAAAAAACATTTTTATTAACCTCATTGTCTGTATTAAGTTGTTTTTATTAAGCCATTTGCTTGGAAGCTGGTCAGCCACACCACCTCTGATATGTACCTAAATAACGCACTTTTATGCACCCCCTAATTACTAAATCATAGCATTTACATTTTTCACACGTGGCGAGACAAAAATCGTTTGGTTTAAGGCATGTCCGCGTAAAAGCAAGCTTAAGTACTGCTTCTCACCATATTTTACTTTTTAAGTGTTCCAGTGTGGCTAGCCTGTAGCATGGGTCTACCTCTGATTTTTACATAGTTGCTGCTTTTTGTTCTCATTATCACGAACATCTTCTCGGCATAAGCCATTCAGGTGGTAGGTTTCAAGCGCAGGCCATTCATTTGAACGCCTTCATACGCGTATGAAACCTTGTACAAATTCCTCTAATCCAATGTCGTCATTCTACTTTCTTTCCATCCCCCTACCTAAAAGCCCATGAAATAAATCATCTTTAGTACAAACCTGTGACTTGCTACTGTGCAACAAGATTTTTTAACCTAAGACACTTTTACAATGAGGCCGAAGAAAACCACTTCATATGGCCCTTGTAGAATATTTACGAGCTTCTATTTCTCTTTCTTTTAGAGACTTCGAAGAAGGATACTAAGGGCGATACCCAACGCTTTGTTTCAGTTTATTCGCCTATAGTTGCAGTGGAGTTGGTAAATGTATAAATTGGAGTATGACCTACTGGTTTACATCATTTTGGCAAAAGTAGAATTAATCATTAGAAAATCCTTACTGCACATGTGTGCAGGTTTTCCATAAGTTGGCAAATAGTAGAAATACATTTAAGCGATATACTCCAAATTTATCAATATATTTCAGATTTATCTACCAGGGCCCAGGCTGCCCTTTTCTGCCCGATGTGTATCTGACGTTTACTGAACTTTTTCTATAGACGGGAAAGATCATTTTGTTTAAAAAATGTTTCTTTGAAAGTTGTTTTGTACAAATATTAATAAAGCTAAAACCTTTATCTTACGTACGACCTACCATATTTTTTCGGACTCTCATTTCAGGGAACTTCCTCCTTGCATCGTCATTTCAATCATCTCCATTACGAACTAATTTGTTTTCTCTATACGATTCGCAGTCAAAACTACAAGGTTCAAGACTGGAGTTTTGGAGAGAGAGAGAGAGAGAGAGAGAGAGAGAGAGAGAGAGAGAAAATACATTTGTTATAATTGGCGGCAATGAGCATCTGCCGTAACTAGTACACACAAACTATGTGTATTCCAGCCGATCACACACAGCATTTATGCATAGACACACAATACACATGTCTGGTATTAGCACGAGCGAATCGGACTTATCATACTGCTTTCCTCGATCATGGTATAGCTGATAGGTCACAGGGAAGGATTTATGCGAAAAGGGATTGTAAGGAGTAAATACCCTCAACGCTGGTCTCTTCCACTGCACGAAAGGCAACCGCACTGTTTCCTGTACAAGGGAGCCACTCCTCACAAGCAACCAAGAGTTCCCACCAATGCCCTTGCTGATTGGTATGTCAAAGTTGTAGCGGACAGACTTTCGAACGCCGTTCGCTACTACTATGTAATAGCTTCACCACGACCTTGCGTCAGGGGTGCTGTCCGTTGTTTACGCCCATGTCAACAATAAATTTCTAGGGTATAATTTCTTTGTGTATATAGGTGGAGGTGGACTCTGCGTGAGAAAGGAACGAGACTTCTCTCAACGCATGATAGAGATAATCGCTTATGTTATTGGTGGCTATCTGTCGTTTACAATCTGTCAAGCGTCTGCATGTTTCAGCCCACGGTGTAATACTGTTTCCTGCCTTGTGTCGCGAGTATCGGGAACAATGCTAGACTTCCAATGTATTCCTAGTTGCCAAAAATGGTGGCACAACTAACTCTACGAATTTTTCTAGTACGTATTTTTAATAAATTGATCATCTCTACAATAACACTTCTGCCATCAGTAAGATGCACCAGTCGACCGGTTTCTTCTTTGTGATGAGTGACCGAACGTCATTAACATTCCCTGACGACAGCTCGGTGAGCGGCTGTCAGCAAGCGAGAGCTTCGTTCATGTTTCACTGACTTAACGGCCATAAATCGTCTTGGCATATACGGGGCGTTCGTATTTTTATTAATACTACCGTCGCTGTTCTCGTACATGATAGAAGACGTATTTAATAACAGTCTATGATACCTTATGGTGAAGTAATTATGCTAAAGCATTGGCTGCATTACTTGACCCATAGACATGTTACTTAGTAGCATATTAATAATGTTCTTCGAGCATGGATTATTTGCTCGTTCTAAATGAAGCGCATAGTCAAATAGTCGCGAGTACAGATAGTAAACGAATGATAAAAATTACCTGAAGACAGAACCTTCGAAGTGAGGTTAGCGACTGACTCCATACGTTGTTCTCACGGTCATGCCGTAGCTGGACGTCAAAGCGGACGTTTCAAATTCAACAAACGAGAAAAATACACAGTTACTTGGTAAGTTGCAGGTTTATTCAGCAGTTCTATAATAACGTCTAAGTTGAAAATCTAAGACTGCAAAGCTTTTTACCTGCGAACACGGCCGTTATCACTGGTGCTGCAATCGTTAGCCATGAGATCACTCTCTGCGGCCGGAAGTAAAAATAAAATTGCCTAACAGACGTTTAATTTGGTCGCTAACCTTAAATTAGAATGTTATTAAATGAAACTGCATTTATATGCGTAATATCACATGTTATTTTTTGTTTGTATGGTACTAAACATTAGTTAGAAATATACGAATCACGTAAATATGCGTTTATTTCTAACTAATGTGTAGTATCATACAACGGTGTAGGAACAAGGTCTCCTATACTACTACTACTACTACGCACGAACCTAGGACATCGTCTTTCGCGCCATGCAACGTATTACATAAAAAAGTGTCGTGAGGGCTCATGGTGACAAAATCGCGCTATGTAATCGCACGGCTTTCGAAAACTAATTACATTAAAATAACGTAAGGGCACGAGGTAGGTTCATGTTTTTATTACGACGTGTCACATTTTTATCGAGATTTTATCGATATCAATGCATAGGAAAATTGTTACGAGCTAATCGATAATAAGGTGAATGATATCTAGCGATATACAAA